GCGCTGCTCCCAAGGACCTGGAGGTGAGGCTTTTATCAAAGGCAAGTGGAGGCCAGCGCAGCCACCAAGGAGTCGCGGGAGCAGGGGAGCAGGGGGACAGGATCCGAGGTCTTCATTCTGGAGCAGCTCCCTCTGTGGCGGTCATTTTTCTTCGTGAGGGTGAAGTGCTTGCGATCCCTGCTCCAAGAACTTGGACCCCACGTCCGATTTCCTGTAGACTTTGGCTCCTGTTGAATGGGAGACACTGGAATCCTTGCCGCGGGGGACTGGAGCACATTGCACTCTTGGCTGCACTTCCTTGGCCCTGGCTCCGGTTCTGGGGAGAAGAGGAGAGGAAGGCTCAGGGATTGATGGAGACAGAATACCCGAGGGAGAAGGGAGAAGGAATAAACAGCTCTTCCTAGGAGTCCCTGCAAGAGGACAGAGCCGGCGAAGCTGCTTAATTCTCAGCCTCTGGTTTCTCGCTCAGTGTCTTCAGCCCTGCAGTGTGGGCCTTTGTGTGACTCCGGGTGGGGGTGGAGGAGGGGGAGGGGGGGGGAGGGGGAAGGGGAGGGGAGGAGGAGCTGATGACAAAGCCTAAAGCAAGCCACCACTTTGGAAGACACAGCCCCACCTGCCACGGCCCACACAAGTGGACTTGCCCTATTTTCCTCCCTGAGATATGGTCCACGTTCAACTCCGACGTCCAAGAGGACAGGCGGTGGGGAGGGGCTGGAGTTGGTGGGCTCAGGTGGCAGAGGCCAGCACTCCACGCTCCGGCCCTCTCTCTGCTCCGACGTCACAGAAGCGTCTGGAAAGACAGCGGCAAGACATCCTGGCCTCTGTGAGAAGACGCTCAAGGGAATCTCTCCTCCCATCTCTGCACCTCTCCGCCCAGTCACGGGAAGGCCACCAGGTCAAGAGCACCCTCGCTTCACTCCCCACCCCTTCTTCCCCCACACTGAACACCAAGAATAACTTCCTGCTGGGGGTGAGGCGGAGGTAAAAAAAGATTTAATTACAGTGTGTCTTTCTGACCTCACTCCCCTACCCCCAGGAGCTGCCCTGTGGCCCGGCCCGGCTGTGGTGTCAATGGGCAGGACCTTGGCCTAGCTGACACCAACCTCCGGCCAGGCGCCACCCAGTGAGAGCCTCGGTGCCTGAGGGTGGGCTCCAAGCCAGGCTCACTCACTCTCCCAGCAATCCCAGAGCCAGCGCCGGTAGACCAGAAGATTCTGTCTTGGGTTCCCACTTAAGAACCCTAAGGCAGGCTGGAAAGTGCTTCTAGGTTTTTGGAAGACAGGGTCATCTTCCCCTAAGACGTTTCCTGGACAACACTGTCCCCACCTTTAATTTCCTATTTCATTATTATTATTTTTATTTTTATTATTATTTGAAAGGCAAGGAGACAGAGAAAGATCTCCCACCCACTGGTTCACTCTCCAAGTGTCCACAATAGCCAGGGCTGGGCCAGGACGAAGCCAGGAGCCGAGAATTCCATCCAGGTCTCCCACATTGCGTGGCAGGGGCCCACGTATCAGAGCCGTCACCTGCTGTTCTCAGGATGCATTAGCAGGAAGCAGAGCTGGGATCCGACCCAGGAACTCCAGTGTGGGGTGTGGGCACCCCAAGCAGTGTCGAACCCCCCTCCTGCCACCAACAATTCCTAAACCTCACCCTCCACTCCCACCCCCACCCCACTCTTGCTGTCCTGTGGCTGAAGGCCACGATTGCGTCACACTGGCTGCCTTTTCCCAGTCAGTTCTCAATGGCATCAAAAGTGACTTCCTAGTGTGGGGCTCTCCTTCCTCGTGGGTGAGCCTGGACACACAACTGCCCTACTCACCTTCACACCCAGTGCCCAGGGGAACCTCAAAAATGCAATGGCTGCCGAGCAAACATTCTGCAGGGGCCATCTCTGCACTCAGCCGGCCTGCAAATGTCTTCTTAAATGCTGATAAGCTGGTGAGGAGGGGCTTTTCTCTGCCCACTGCCACCCCCCAACACACACACGCGACCTCCTAAACTCCTCTAGGGACCCCTTTGAACCCAGCCCTCAGATGTTTCTGAACGCTGGGGCAGGGCCAGGCGGAAGCTCCTAGGGAGCTCCGTGAAGACCCAGCTTTCTGGTTTGGGACCTCACCCACCAGGACTCCGTTAACTGCCTTTGTTGTCCGAGAAGCTGAGTTAGGAATCCCAGCTCCCTCCAGGAGGTAGGAGGTGATTAAGATGAAGAAGAGAATAAAAGCTTTTAGACAAGATCCATCCGCCTGCGCCAAGAACAGCTCTCTGCGGCCGTACAAGTGCCCGCAGGACCATCAAAGAGAAGCCGGCGCCCGGGTCTCTGTTTGTTAACTCAGGGAACGGCTCTGTCTCGGGATTACGGCCATTGAAAACATCTCCTCGACCTGAAGTCTTTTCTCTGTCAAGCGCACAATCGCATCGTTCATATTTTCAGAGGAATCTGTCACCGGTTCCATAGGCTGCCTCCACCAGCAGGGAGGGCAGGAAAGCAGTATGCCCAACCCTCTCCCACTGGGATGAGCTGAGGATGGGGTCCCGTGCTACCAAAGCCCCAGGTGTGGTTTCTCCCTCCCCACCAATCCTGCCCCTGTCCCCTGCTCTCTCCTAAGAACCAAGGCCAGGGGAGAAGGACAGATGTCATACTCCTAGGCCAAGAAGAAGAAGGTGAACTACATAGCATAGCTTCTGAGTGCACTTGATCTTCACAGCCAGCCACTGAGGCTGGTCTTTCACAGAGAAGAAAATGGTCCAAGGGGCTGGAGCTGTGGCGTGATGGTAAAGCCGCTTCCTACAGTGCCGGCGTCCCATATGAGCACCGCTTTAAATCCCGACTGCTCCACTTCCGGTCCAGCTCTCTGCTATGACCTGGGAAAGCAGTAGAAGATGGCCCAAGCCCTTGGGTCCCCGCACCCACGTGAGAGACCTAGAAGAAGCTCCTGGCTCTTGGCTTCAGATCAGCACAGTTCCGGCCATTGTGGCCACTTGGGGAGGGAACCAGCAGATGGAAGACCTCTCTCTCTGTCTGTAGTTCTGCCTTTCAAATAAATAAATAAATCTTTAAAAAAAAAAAAAAAAAAAGTGGGCCCAGGCCACAGCAGGAAGAGCAGGGTTTGAACCCAAGTTCCACTGGCTGATAATGAAAATGTGGGCCGGGGCCGGGGTTGTGGCTTAGTAGGTAAAGCCACCGTCTGCAGCACCAGCATCCCATATGGGTGCCAGTTCAAGTCCTGGCTGCTCCTCTTCTGATCCAGCTCTCTGCAATGGCCTGGGAAAGCAGTAGAAGATGGCCCAAATGCTTGGGCTCCTTCACCCACATGGGAGACCTGGAAGCAGCTCCTGGCTCCTGTCCTCTGGGTTGGCCCAGCCCCTGCCATTGCAGCCATTTGAGGAGTGAACAAGCAGATGAAAGACCTCTCTCACTCTCTGTAACTCTGCCTTTCAAATAAATAAATAAATCATTCTTTTTTAAATGTGGGCAGACCACTAGGAGTTTGAGCTTTGGGTCCCATCTCAGCTGTGCCAGTGGCAGTAGTGCCTCCCTGACCACCCCATAGGCCCCAGGGGGAGGGAAGTTGGGTGCAAGTGCTAAGTGCAGGCACCAAGTTTCCGTCTACCATGCAGTGTTTGTCAAATGCAAACTCTCAGAGCCAGGCGAGCTTTCCTTCATTGTATCCCCACCACTCAAATCAGCGCCTGGGACATCTGTGGCTCTTGGAGGGGAGGGAAGCAGTGTCCAAGCCCCATCCCATGGGAAGCAGGTGAGAGAACTTGTGGTGGTCTGGACGGTCCAGGTTGGCAGGAGTGGCAGGGAGGCAAGGTGTCACATGACACACTACCCCAACCCAAGGAGGAGCACACAGTTCTGGGGGTGGGGTGCAGATAAGGGGACACCCAAGCCCAGTCTGTTAGATCAGCCATATCCTGATGCCCAAAGCATACCACGCTTTTTAAGGTTTCTGTTTAGTTATTTGAAAGGCAGAGTGAGTGAGTCAGTGGGGGTTGGACAGGGGACATCCAGTGGCATCCCCAGATGCCCACAACAGCCAGGGATAGGCCAGGTCAGGCCAAAGCCAGAAGCCTGGAACTCCACCGGGGGCTCCTACATAGGCGGCAGGAACCAAAGGACCCAGGCCATCACTTGCTACCTCTCAGGCACAGTAGCAAGCTCTATGGGAAGCAGAGGCAGGACTCGCTCCCAGGCGTTCCAGTATGGGATGTGGGTGTCCCAAGAGGTGGCCAAGGCTGCTGTGACCACAATGCCCACCCCGACGCAGCATACTTTCAGTGCAAGCCTGATGGTGGAGACCAGCAAAGGGTTCACCCCTGCCTGTTCCCAGCCCCCCGACAAAACCTCATGGCTCCTGACAGAGGAGACCCTGACACCTGCACGTGGCTCATCTAAGAGTGAAACAGGAGACAGCGCTAGAGGCAGGCTTCAGCCGGGGAGCGAGCCAGAGAAGTGCCAGGGAATCGGTCCCTGCAGAGGGCATCCCTGACAAACATGGCTGTCCCTGCCTCAGGGAACCCTCTGTCACTCCAGGGCTTCTTACCTGTCCCTGCTGTGGGACACCAGCTGCATTACTCTTGCCTCTTCCTGTGGAACTAGGTGCAGGACCAGGGACTTGGTGTTCTGCGTCCCTCTTCATAGACACACCGTAAAGTGAACACAGGGGATGAAAGAAGACCAGAAGGGGCCCCACTGGCCACCAGGACTTGCAGCTCCATTGCCCCTGTGCCCTGCGCATCCCCTGCTGGCCTCAACCTGCAACACTGTCCACTGGGGGTCCTACTCACACTGGTAGGGGGCAGGGCAGGCAGTGGGCAGCCTCTGAGGCAGGAAGGCAGCCTCTCCCTGGGCCCCCGTGTGTGCCTGCGCCTGCCCAGCCAGGCAGGAAGCGACCGTGCCAGATCCCATCTGCAGAACCACAAGTGCGCCTCCCTCCCTCCAGTGATTTGTGTGTCAAAACCATGCCAAGGCTGTAAATCAGGTGGTCGGAAGCTCCTGTTTTCCTGCTCAGAGACAGAATGTACTGCCACCAGCTCCCAAGCCTGCCTGATTTCAGGGATTTTTGAGCAGGCACTAACCCTGGGGCAAGGCTGGGGGGAGCTTGATCTTGGCCCTGGTCCTGGCTCTGGGCTCTCCTCCTCCCCGCAGCCAGGGGCTTGGTGGGCGGCGACCTGGAGCCAGGTGCCTTTCCCCCGTGTTAACTGCTCGCAGCTCCTACCCGGCAGGCTCCAGCAGGGAATTTTCCACTGCCTGGTTGGATTTAGCTCATTTAGCGCGGCTGCCTTGACTTTTCGCAGTGAGGGGCGCTGGAAGGTGGGGGCACCCTCCCTGCGTTGGGGTCTTGGGGGCGGCATGGGTCTGTGCGCGTTTTCACCTTGGCCCTGAGAGCAACTCCGCACCGATCCTGCAGCCCTGGGGCGTGGGAGGCGCTGCAGCCCAGAGAGGAGAGCAGAGCCCTGCTGCGTGCGCTGCGGGGGGGTGCAGAAGCGGGTCAGCCCCCTCCCCTGAGCCTCCTCTCAGGAAGTCTGGAGATGCCCTGTGTGGGTGAGGGGCCCCTCCCTCCCGGAACCGCCACCGCCCCCCAGCCCTGGGCCGACGATGCCCTCTGGGTTCTGTTTTCATTCCAGGCTGTGGATCCGGCCGTGGGAAGCAGGTAGGAAACCATGGATTCTGGGGGTTAAATGAAGAAATATATTTAGTGCTCACAGAAAGCCAAATATTGGGTTAGCAGCCAGGAATGGAGGGGGGGGGGACCCAAAGCAAACACCAGAGGAAAGGCATTCCTCCCAAACAAGGTCCCTATTCATTTTCCAAATTGCAGGTGCAGGGGCCCACAGGGGAGAGAGCTGCTGGGTCTGGGGCTTTGATGAGACCCCCCCCAAACACCAAGGGACGCCCAGTGCCCTCCAAAAGGCCCACCATATCTGGACTGAGAACAGCACCCTGGCGCTGGCTCGCTCCCTGAGCCGGCACCTAAAGCTGTCTGGAGCCTGCAGAAGTGGGGAGGAGGAACCACAAACAAACACTCCTCGTTTGACCTTGAGTAAGTGACTTAGCCTCTCTGGCCCCATCTCTGGAATGTAAGGGTTGGAGTGGGGTTTCACAGGTCATGAAGTCCCACTATCCTGTGCCTGCCTAAAGCAAGCAAGAAGAGGGAGCGTGAACAAGACCACAACAGCCAATAGATGGACCTTGCTCCAGGAGCCACAGGGACACCAGTTGACCTATTCCCACTCAGCTTTCTGTGCCTTGGCCCTCTGTGGACAAAATGTAGGGGTTCTGACCTGACTCCTCCAGGACCCAGACTCCAAGGCCCCACCTCTGCAACCTGCTCAGGCTTGACTCTGGGCAGGGACTGCACCGCCCAGCCTGGCCTACTGGGCAAGCAAAAGAGGGGTCAGGGGTCCTGGACAGGTTGAGGGGAGGGGGAAGAGAGCAGGCGCCCCCTGGACACGTTCCGTGGGATCTCAGGAAAGGCACAGTTTGTCCACCTGACTCCAAGACTGATTTGTGCCCGGGGGATCCCCTCCCCTCTGGTGGAGGTGGTTGGGGGAGCCCAGCAGTAGCAGGTGACAAGGGACATTCAGAAGCAGAAGTTGCCAAAGGACTGAATCATAACCAAACAAAAGAAGGACAGGGAGTCCTCCCCCGGGTCTGTCTCTCTTTTTCCTGGTCTTTCTTTCTCATGCTCTGTTCCCCTCTCTCTGGTTTTCTCAAAGGGCCTCAAGCTCTGGGGGAATCTGGGTACCCCCCCCCACCTCATGGGCTGGAAACACCTACCTGAGAACCGCTATTTCCTGCACGCTGCCGAAGGCCCACTCCAGAGAGCCCCAGCCTGGAGGTAGCCCTGCGCACTGGTGAACGCCCTACCCGTCCCTTTCTCCCCAGGTTCCAGTCCTGTCCAGCACGGAGTCAGCAGGCACGCACCTGTCCTGTGAAGCTTGGGAGAGGATACGCAGAGGCAGCCACTGACAAAACTGTCAACAAATAAATAATCCCAACAAACTTGCTTCTTCCCCCGCATTGCCTAAGGTCTGTACTGCACCATTAGAAATCATCCTTAATATCCATCCAACGGGTCGCCTGCTATTTATCTTACAAATCCCCCCCTAACCATCTGCCATCCCCACTACCACTGCCCCTGTGGGCCCTTGGCATCTATATTAATCAGTTTTTCTGCTGCTGTAACAAAACCTCATAGAGAAAAGTGGTTCCTATAGCTCTCAGTTCTGGAGGTTGAAAGTCCAAACAGCATGGTACAGGCCCTGGTGAGAGTCCCATGGCTAATGAGGACAGGAAGCCAAACTGCTGAATGGGGCCCAGCTTGCTGTTGGTTGTTTTTTAAGATTTATTTATTAATTTGAAAGGCAGGGTTAGAGAGAGACAGAGAGAGGGAGAGACATAGATAGAGGTCTCCGCTGGTTCACTCCCCAAGTGGCCACAACAGCTGGAGTTGGGCTGATCTGAAGCCAGGAGCCAGGTGCTTCTTCTAGGTCTCCCATGTGGGTGGTAGGGGGCCAAGCACTTGGGCCATCTTCTGCTGCTTTGCCAGGCACATTAGCAGGCAGCTGGATGGGAAACGGAGCAATCAGGACTCCAACCGGTGCTCATATGGGATCCTTGCTGTGCCACAATGCCAGCCCCTCCAATGTTTTTGTTTGCACCCAATTCCCTGTATTAAATCCCTTTCTGCTCGAAACACTCTGAGTGATTTGTGTGTTCCTGACTAGCAAAGATATAATGGCTGTGTTTGAAGATACACTGTTTTTTTCTCAAACAAACAAACAAACAAAACAGAGCAGTAACATGAGAGAAACAATTAGGGTACAGGAGAGCAAGTCCAGGAGATCCAACATTCAAATTATAGGAGTTCTAGAAACAGAACTCAGAGGAAAGGAATACGTCAAAGAAATAGTTCAAGAAACAGTCCCAGAATGAAAGGACATACATTTGCACATGGAAAGGGCCCACCTAGTGCACCACACATAGAATAAAAATAGAACCAGCCGGAGCTGGCTAATCCTCCGCCTTGCAGCGCCGGCACACCGGGTTCTAGTCCTGGTCAGGGTGCTGGATTCTGTCCCGGTTGCCCCTCTTCCAGGCCAGCTCTCTGCTGTGGCCCGGGAGTGCAGTGGAGGACGGCCCAAGTGCTTGGGCCCTGCACCCCATGGGAGACCAGGAGAAGCACCTGGCTCCTGCCATCGGATCAGTGCCGGTGCGTCAGCCGCAGTGGCCATTGGAGGGTGAACCAACGGCAAAGGAAGACCTTTCTCTCTGTCTCTCTCTCTCACTGTCCACTCTGCCTGTAAAAAAAAAAAAAAAAATAGAACCATGTCGAGCACGTCCTAGTTGAATTTCATGATGTTAGGGCTGAAGAAAGGATCCTTCAAGTTTCCGGAAGAGGGAAGACACAGTCATAGCCTCATTATCAAGACAGAATGCATTCAGATTTCTCAAAAGCAGGAATGGAACCTAGACATCCACTTCTGATCCAACTTTCTGCCAATGCGCCTGGGAAGGCAGCAGACGATGGCCAAGTGCTTGGACCCCTGCTACCCACGTGGGAGGTTCCAGACGGAGGTTCTGGCTCCTGGCTTCAGCCTGGCCTGGAACTGGCCATTGCAGCTATTTGGGGACTTAGTCAATGGATGGAAGATCTTTCTCCCTCCTTCTCCCTCTCTCTGTCACTCTGCCTTTCAAATAAATAAAATAAATCTTAAACCATAATTGAAGTAGCAATCACATCTGAGAAAAACCACTTTTCCATGTGTAAAGAATTTAATAGCTTTATGTATTCATTCATTCATTTGAAAGGCACAGCAATAGAGACAGAGAGCTCCCATCCGCTGATTCAATTCCAAATGCCTGCAATGGCTAGGGCTGGTCCAGGCTGAAGCCAGGAGCCGGGAACTCCCTCCTGGTCTCCCACATGGGTGGCGGGGGCCCAAGCACTTCGACCATCATCCACTGCCTTCCCAGGCACATCAGCAGGGAGCTGGGTTGGAAGTGGAGCAGCCAGGACTCAGAACCCTGCTCTGATATGAGATGCTGGTGTCACAAGTGGCAGGCAATTTAACCTGCTATGGCACAACACTGGCTCCCCAATAATTTTTCAAAAGTATTTCCTAAGCACTGTCTCTCAGGAAGCTACCAAAGAATGTGTCACACCCAAAATAAGGAAGTAAATCACGAAAGGGAAACCTTGGAATACGAAGAAAAAAAAAAAAAAAACAATCCTGGGAAGAAGTTAGGAAATTCCTGGGATGATGAAGGGAGATACCAGAATGACAGCTGTGTAATTAGTGTAGAACGCAACCAATCCAGACTGGAGTAAATCAGGAGGCTCCAGGAAAGACTGTCTCCAGAAGATACGGGGCCAGCACCGTGGCACAGTGGGTGAAGCTGTTGCTTGTGACACCAACATCCCATATGAGCACTGATTCAAGTCCTGGCTGTTCTACTTCCAATGCAGCTCCCTGCTAATGCGCCTGGGAAAGCAGCAGACGATGGCCCAAGTACTTAGGCTCCTGCCACCTATGTGGGAGACCCGGATGGAGTTCCAGCCTCCTGGCTTTGGCCTGACCCAGCCCTGGCTTTACGGGCATTTGAGGAGTGAACTGACAGATGGAACCTATCTCTCTGTTTCTGTCTCTCGTCTTTCTCTGTCACTCTGCCTTTTGAATGAATGAATGAGTAAATAATTTAAAAATCTGCTTTAAAAAATTAGAAAATATCCATGTAAAATCGACCAGACAGATCTCTAGCAAGCCTGACCAATGAAAATGGAAAGGATACATCTCCATTTACACAGAAAATTTTTAAATAGTGTGCTGTCTGGTGTTGTGGCACAGTGGGTGAAGCTGCCCCTTGGGATGCCATATCAGAGCCCTGGCTCCAGTCCAGGCTCCCCTAGTTCCGATCCAGCTTCCTGCCAATGCACCTGGGTGGGGGTGAAGTAGATGATGGCCCAAGTACTTAGGCTCCTGCCACCCACATGGGAGACCCGGATGGAGGTCCTGGCTCTTGGCTGCAGGCTGGCCCAGTCCTGACTGTTGCAGGCATTTATAGAATGAGCCAGTGGATGGAACTCTCTCTCTCTCTCTCTCTCTCTCTCTCTCTCTCTCTCTCTCTCTTCCTATCTGTCTTGCTCTGTTACTTCATCAAGTAGATGAAAATAAATAAAAATTCACCTTTAAAATATTGTGAACAGGGCCACTGCTGTAGCACAGTGGGTTAAAGCCCTGGCCAGCAGCACCAGCATCCGATATGAATACCGGTTCGAGTCCCCAGCTGTTCCACTTCTGATCCAGTCCCTGCCAATGCTCCTGGGAAAGCAGCAGAGGATGGCTCAAATCCTTGGGCCCCTGCACCCACATGGGAGACTCGGAAAAAGCTCCTGGCTCCTGGCTTCGGATCGGCTCAGCTCCGGCCATGGCAGCCATTTGGGGAGTGAACCAGTGGATGGAAGACCTCTCTCTGTCTCTACCTCTCTGTAACTTTTTCAAATAAATAAAATAAATCTTTAAAAAATATATATTGTGAATAACTTTATGTACTCAAGAACTCGAATGAGACAGATAATTTTCTAAAGACAATTCATGGCCGGCGCCGCGGCTCACTAGGCTAATCCTCCACCTAGCGGCGCCGGCACCCTGGGTTCTAGTCCTGGTCGGGGCGCTGGATTCTGTCCCGGTTGCCCCTCTTCCAGGCCAGCTCTCTGCTGTGGCCCGGGAGTGCAGTGGAGGATGGCCCAAGTGCTTGGGCCCTGCACCCCATGGGAGACCAGGAGAAGCACCTGGCTCCTGCCATCGGATCAGCGTGGTGCACCGGCCTCAGCACGCCAGCCGCAGTGGCCATTGGAGGGTGAACCAACGGCAAAAGGAAGACCTTTCTCTCTGTCTCTCTCTCTCTCACTGTCCACTCTGCCTGTCAAAAATAAATAAATAAATAAATAAGTAATAAAAATAAAGACAATTCATCGGCAAAATTGATGCAAACATAAGCAGAAAGCGTAAGTAAACCAATAGCTATTAAATTGTTGGGATTGCTAATCACTGCTCTCTTACCCTAAAGGACACCTGCCCTTCTCTTACACTTGAAGGCATAAATAAACTCCGCCTCTTAGGGACACGTTTTCAGTTGTGGTGGCGGTTGCCCTCCCAGACACCCCTCTGGGGAGGCTGTCTGTAGGACGTAGGGCAGCTGCACACTACGTTTCTAACTTCCCTTTCCACTAGGTGTGTCTGGATGACTAAATCCTCACCTTTACTTGGGAGCCAGCGTGTGTGCTGCTTCTCCATCACTCACTGTTTGTGTCCTGGCGCCACTGCTGACCAGGTGCCCGTGGTCTGGGGGCGTGAACAACGGGGCTCCTGTTCTCACAGCTCTGGAGGCCAGAAGTCCAAGTCAAGGTGGTGGGAGGCTGGTTCCTTCCCTGCATCCCCAGGGGAGCGCTCTCCTGCCCCTGTCTGCTGTCTTCAGATGCTGTGCCTGCAGCCAGGCTCTCCTGTCCAATCTCTGCCTGCACACTCACAGGGCATTCCCCAGCAGGTGTCTGCATGTCTGCTGCTGTGTGGAGACTGGTTCTCCTGGATTAGGGGCCCCCCTGCTTCAGCGTCGCTGCTTCCTGAGTGTGTCTGCAAAGACCCTGTTCTCAAGACAGGTGGCATTCTGGGGGCGCCTGGAAGGTGGGGCGCCAGAGTGTCAGTGAGGGGGGATGCAGCGATGTTTCTCTAAAAGGAAACGCTTGCTCGCTGCATTCTCTGCCCCGCCCTTCCTGTGGGCAGCACGGACTCAGAGCTGCAGTGCCTTTAGGTTAGGTAGATAAAGACAAACACCTTTGGAGATGGCAAAGAAGCAAAGTGGGGACACTGTGGGTCTGCATCGAGCCAGGACCACCCCACCAGCCTGGGCCCTTTATTTTATTTTATTTTATTTTATTTTATTTTATTTTATTTTATTTTATTTTATTTTATTTTATTTTTGGACAGGCAGAGTTAGTCAGTGATAGAGAGACAGAGAGAAAGGTCTTCCTTCTGTTGGTTCACTCCCCCAAATGGCTGCTGCGGCCAGTGCACTGCGCCGATCCGAAGCCAGGAGCCAGGTGCTTCCTCCTGGTCTCCCATGAGGGTGCAGGGTCCAAGCACTTGGGCCATCCTCCACTGCACTCCCGGGCCACAGCAGAGAGCTGGCCTGGAAAAGGAGCAACCGGGACAGAATCTGGTGCCCCAACCGGGACTAGAACCCTGGGGTGCCGGCGCCACAGGCGGAGGATTAGCCTAATGAGCTGTGGCTCCGGCCCTGGGCCATTCATTTCTACACTGAGCAAGAAGTATGCTTCTTGCTGGATTTAAACACCTGTACTGGGGCGGGGGGCGGGAGGAGGTTGGTCACTGATGTCAGAGCTTAGCTCTTACTCTTAGGAACATGCTTCTACTCAACTCATCTAATAAGGATCTTAATTTTATTCCCCAAACCCAGTAAGCACCAAATTTTTAAAAATCGTAAACTAGTATCATTTATGATCATAAATGCAGAGGTTCTAAATGAAGTGTTAGCAAGTTACATTCAAGGAAACATGTATACTTTTATGGTGACCTAATTGTGTCTATCTCAGGAATTCAAAAATGGAATGGTTCAACATAATATAATCTATTAACATATATTTCTTTAAGGAGAAAAATCCACTTAACACAATAGATTAAGAATATTTGCTAAGATCTAATACTCATACAATTGAATAGGTAAATATGAAATATATAGCTAATACAAAGGAAATAGTTTAAGGTTTGTTTATTCCTGATAATGGTACTACAGTTATTTTTCTTTTTTAAAGAAATCTTATCTTTTCATGATACACACTAAAATATTGACAGATAGCATCATGTGATGTCTGGGATTTGCTTCAAATAACAGAGAGGGGAGAGGTTAGCAAAGATTAACCAGGAGCCAAAAGTTATTGAGACTCTATAATGGGCACACAGAAATTTATTATTCTAGTCTACCTACTTTCTAAAAAAGAAAAAAGATTTATTTATTTGAAAGTAGAGTTACAGATAGAAATAAGGAGAGACACAGAGATCTTCCACCTATTGGTTCATTCCCCTAAATGGCTGCAAAGCCAGGGCTGGGCCAGGCCAAAGCCAGAAGCGTCATCTAGGTCTCTCACTTGGGTGGCAGGGGCCCAAGCACTTGGGTGATCCTCTGCTACTTCCCCAGGGAGCTGGATCAGAAGTAGAGCAGCTGGGAGTCAACCAGTCCCCACACAGGAAGCCAGGGTCGCAAGCAGTGGCTTCACACTATGCCACAATGCGCCCCTAGTTTACCTAC